ATATAAATTAGATAAAGTTATATACTCACCATAATGTACTGTTATGCAAGTATTTTGGTCGACTGTGCAGGTCATAGTTTTGTTACACATAGCAGATTCACAATTGTAGCACACTAAAGCACTTCCTAAATAATCAAGGAAGAAAAGAAACTAAACAAAATGATCCCTTCTGAAACAGAATCCCCGTTAGAAAACAAATTATAAGTAGTCCTTTCTTACTGTTTTGTTTAGCCATTGTTCAAAGTTTTAACAATGTTAAAAAAAACAGCTTTGCGACCAATCCATGTATTTACAACTATCATATCATCATTCACAGTTTCACAACTAGTCCCTGACAAGCGGAGTTCAGGTTTCAAAAAATCTTGCCAAGGAAACTGCATGGACTTGTTCATATAGTTGCCAGGAGTCAAAACTGACTCAAAGACACACACAAAAAGAAAAACAACAAAAGAGTTCCCTTGAAACTGGATGTCTAGGATTGCCCCGACAATTTGCCTGGTTATAAAAGACAATTTCATACAATTCCAGCCAGGAATCTGTCATTCAAAGGGATATTATAATTTTTTCTATCATAAATTATATCATCTGTATAATTCCAAAGCATCAAGCTAAAACTCAGCCAGCCCTTGGAATGATGACCTCCCTCTTCTATTCTTCTGGTCCCTGCACTGTTATCATTCAGTTAGCATTTACCGTTGGGTTCACTTACTTACCTGAATGGAGGAACAAAGCCAGAACAAAGGCAGTAATGATAGCAGTGACCAAAAGGGATTTCATCTTCTTTGTGTCTCCTATTCAACCTACATAATAAAAAAAAAATGTTGTCCTATCAGATGTTCCAAAATAAATGCAATAATCTAAACTGAGCAACAATATTTGTATGCCAAGCCTCAACTTTCTATATTCCATGTCATTATGCCAGTCTTATATAAAACTTTTATGAGTGCTAAGTAGGAATATATTTTTTTCCGGGCAGGTGACAGAATATTCATGAAAGGCAACATCACTCAGACCGAAGTAAAGATCTGTTAAATTACTGGCCTCTAAAGTGAAACCACTAAAATGAAATATCATTTCTACTAAACTTGAAAGCACTTTTAAATTGTATATCAAATAATTGGAATTTACCATAATACAAAGGAAAATGCTTATGTACTCTACCCTCTACTCCATTTCACTGTGTCCTAAAGACACTCTTGCTGGAGAGCTCTCATTAGCTGTATTATTGAAATTGATTTTTCTGCACAATCACATGGGACTTTTGTCTCATAATACATCAGAATCCCAAATGAGTACAAGCGTTTTGTGAGCCCAACAGTACAAATGTCAATTAAATTGCACAAATAGTCACATCATTCCTATTGGCAGTAAATAGCATAATGCAAAGTGCAAAAAAGGAGTAAGAAAAAAAAAGTTTGTTCTCTTTTGTCGATTTTGATCAATAGTAGTTGTGATAATTGATGGCCATATGTAACGGTATGTAAAGGTAGGAAAAACGATGATGTGGGTATATAACGAAGTATGTGACGAAAAAGAATTTTGAAAAGTGGAGACAGAACCACCTTTAACTAATTCCTTCCAGCCACAATATTGTCAATCCTCTTTATGCACATCCTTAATGTATTAACAGTAAGTGTTCCATGTGGCAAGTCTATTAAGCTGGCAATCTAGATGCCAACTGCTATACTTTATTAAAAAGTCATACGAAGGTAGTTAAAATTACAGTATGTCTATGCCGCAGCACCAAATTTAGATTTAAGAATAAGCTAAACAAACAACAGTTTAGCCCACACAATTCACAGGGCATTTATGTATGCTCTGGTTTTTAATAAATTTTAAAATGGCAATGATGCATAGCATATCATTGGAGCAAATAATTCATTTTATGAAGATTCCCAAAAGGCCTTAAAACCTTGCTCTATCAAATGGTCTGTGGTCCCCATAACAGAATAACAATTGGAAGAAATTAACCCCCTGCTCAAGCAGGAGACCCTACAACATTCCAGACAAGTAGCTATCCAGTCTCTTCCAGTGATGGAGCACCCACAACTTCTCCACATCTTCTGAAGGCAAGTCATTCCACTGGTTAATTGTTCTCACTGTTAGGAATTTTCTCCTTAGTTCTAGTTTGCTTCTCTCCTTGATTAGTTTCCATCCATTGTTTCTTGTCTTACCTTTGGGTGCTTTGGAAAATAGGTTGACCTCTTCTTCCTTGTGGCAGCCCCTTTAATATTGGAACATTCATATCACCTCTAGTCCTTCTTTTCACTAGATTAGGCATAGCCAATTCCAGCAACCTTTGCTCTTTATATGTTTTAGCCTCCAGCTCCCTTATCATCTTTGTTGCTCTTTTCTGCATTCTTTCCAGGGTCTCAACCTCTTTTTTACATCATGATGACCAAAACTGGATGCAGTATTCCAAGTGTGGCCTTACCAAGGCATTATCAACTGGTATTAACACTTTATTTATTTGATTTGATTTGATTTATATCCCGCCCTTCTCCCAACGGGACTCAGGGCGGCTTCATGTGATCTTGATTCTATCCCTCTGTCAAGCCTCTGTGTTGGCTTTTTTGGCAGCTGTAGCACTGCTGGCTCCTATTTAAGTGATTGCCCACTAGGACTCCAAGATCCCTCTCGCAATTACTGCTATTGAGCTGTACCTGTACATTTGGTTTTTCTTGCCTAAGTGTAAAACCTTACTTTTCTCTACATTGAATTTCATATTTTTAGATTGGGCCCAGTGTTCAAGTCTTTCAAGATCCACCTGGATCTTGAGCCTATCTTCTGGGGTGTTGGCTATTCCTGCCCATTTAATGTCATCTGCAAATTTGATGAGTTCCCCTTTCATTCCCTCATCTAAATAGTTGAATCAATGAAGCCTGTCATATTGGAAGTGGTGAAAGGACTGAGAAAAGATTCTACCTCCACCTTGTCTATATCTTTCCCCCTTCCTTAGCCATTCTTGTAATGTTTTAATGGCAATATTTATTATCTTAAGAATTGAAATCTAAAGTCATCTGATGAAGAGACTAAATAAATATAAATTTTACTTTTGAGAAATCAAGGAAGAAAAATGTATAAGCTGTATCTGATATCAGTTTTCTGGTTTTGCCCATAACTCATTCAATTTCGATTTTTCATTTTAAATATTTGCTATTAATTGAAAAGCATATTTTATTTATTTGTATCCTGCCTTTATTATTTTTAAAAAATAACACAAGGCTGAGAACATACTTAAGACACTTTCCTCCTATTTTCCACTCAACAGCACCCTATGAGGCAAATTGGGCTGAGAGTGAGTAGCCTAAAGCAGGGCTTTTCAACCTTTTCACCCATTGTACCACTTTTAGGATATGGCAACATCCGAGTACCACCAGTCGCCTAGCAAGGTGTCAAAAACCTGATGACCAAAAAAGGAAAAAAGTGATAAAGTACAGGTAGTCCTCGACTTACAACAGTTCGCTTAGTGACTGTTCGAAGTTACAATCGCACTGAAAAAAGTGCCTCCCAAGCCACAGCCGAGCAAGACACCTGCCTGTCCGCCCGGCGGCGCTCTTCCTCCTGTCCGAGGTTTTCATTGTTGTGAGCATTTCTGTTGAGGATTGGCAGCGGGGGTGGGGTGGCGGGGGTGTTTGGTTTTTATTCCTCCCGTCTGCTGGGTGGTTGCAGCAGGTTTTGGTCACTTCACATGACCCTGGGACACTGTGACTGTCATAAATATTAATCAGTTGCCAAGCATCTGAATGTAAATCACAAGACCCTGGAGATGGTGCAACATTCCAGCTGATTGGTACTTCTTCTGGGCTCAGCAGAAGCACCAGGATCAGCGCTGCTTTCCAGCTGATTGGTGCTTCTTCAGGGCTCAGCAGAAGCACCAGAATCAGCACCGAGCTCCAGCTGGAGCCTGGCGCTGATCCTGGCGCTTCCACTGAGCCCTGACAGCCCCGAAGAAGGGCCGATCAGCTGGAGCCTAGCACTGATCCTGGTGCTTCCGCTGAGCCCTGACAGCCCTGCAGCTCCAGCTGTCTCTCACTCAGGCTTGTATGGTGCTGCCATCGGTTCAGCTCATTTCCCTCCCTCGCTACCACTTTTCTAGGATGGTCGCGTACCACCTGCCCGGTGCCAATGTACCACAGGTGGTACCCATACCACTGGTTGAAAAGCCCTGGCCTAAAGTCATCCAGCCAGCTTTCATGCTCAAAAATAAACTAGAAGTAACAGTCTCTGGGTTGTTAGCCTGTTGCCTTGACCCCTGAACCAAACTGGCTAAATATATACAGTATTTGTGTGTGTGTGTGTGTGTGTGTGTGTGTGTGTGTGTGTGATGATGATGATGATGATGATGATGATGATGATCCGAATCCAAGATCCTGTTTTGGCACCATCTTTGAGAGACCTTGTGGTGTAAATTAGGAGCCTTCAATCTTTATGTATCCTAAGGCTCCACCAAGTCTAAATCTGACACAGAGGGGTTCGTGGGAACTTGCCCGCTCCGGGCGACCAGGCGTCGTCCCGAAAAAAGATGCGCTGCTCTAAAGAGCTGAATGCAGCTGTCAGGTTCGCGCCTCCATTAATAACTTTTTTGGAACCGAGTCCAAAATGCTTGTCCGCTTCTACCTTTCCGCGGAGCTTGAAGGCGGCCACCCGCTCCCCTAACTGACGGAAACGAGCTGGAATGAAAGGATGCTTACTCCGAGGAGAAAGGAGGTTAAATCTGGATTTCTGACCAAAATAAAGCAACAAAACAACCCTAATCCTATGAAAGCCGCTATATTTTATTTTATTTTATTTTAGATTTTATGTTTTATTTTCTGTTTTATTTGCCTCCTCCCTCCTTCGGCATTTCTTTTGTACCTCCTGCTATCCAATCCGCCCTCAATCCAAGCTTAAACCGGAGAATCGCTGCCTTGACGCGACCTGCGTGTGGCTGACTCTAGCCAGCATCCAGCGGGAGGATTTAAAGGGGGAATCTGAGAAACCAAATGCAAAGCAAACGCCGTGCAAGAGGCTTCATTTTCACAAGACAGAAAACAGCGAATACTTACAAGGGAACCTTTAAACAGCCCAGATACTATCAGCTAAGACGATTCACCACCGCGTCACAGGGAAGAGGGGGAAAAAAAAAGACACAACTTCTCCAAAGTTCTCAGAGCGCGCCTGGCGCTTTCAATTCGGGGAAATTAATGTATATACCTGGGGAGAAGCGGGGCCAACCTATGCTACTTTTCATTGGCCAGTTGCAGGTTTCCCGATCCCTAATTGGCTGCATGTCATCGAGTTCGTTGGCTACCTAGAATAAAGAACTATTTCTTGGCTTTCAGCTAAGATATTGAGCCTTATGGGGATATAAGTGAGTTTGATCCCAAAGGCTGTTAAACTAGCTATTTCAGAGTAGCAGACTCGGGCTACATTCCGAAGGAAGCTTGTCTATAGGTGCTTCAGAGTCTGATCCGGAGCAGTATTAGAAAATCTAAAGAGAGGTGTGCCAATACACGACCATTTCCCCACCCCCCAAGATACTTTGTTCTGCATACAAGATATGAGAATTAGACATTAAAAATGTGAATTTCTAATGCTGCCTTAAGTAGCAACATTTTTATAGAACAATAAATACATATAAACAATAAATGTAAATGTATATAAAGGGAACAAATAAAGGGAACATATGCTGCATAAACCTTTCAAGGTATAAAAACTGTATTAAAGGAGAGTTTTTGAATTGCAAAAAATATGTTCAGCATACTGCGTTTCCATTTTCTGTCTTGGTTCCTCTTAATGCCTGGAAAACAAAACATCATTTAAAAGACCACACTCAAACTGGGGGAAAGAAGAAGTGTGAACTTAATTGAACTTGACAAATAGCATATTGTGGTATGAAAGAATAGGTACTATTATACAAAACTGTAAGCAATGACAACTATATTCCTTTTTCCCTTGGTGATTTGATAATTTTTAGCTTTCTACCGCCAATAAGCGAACGGCTTTTTAATTCTCTTGAATTGTGCCTGTTTTTACTTGGCACAATAACCTGTGATTTAACCAGAGTTTTCCGAATTGATCCATTGGCAGTGTTGAGCCAATACCTTCTGAACCATAAAGTAGCTAAACACATTGCAGCATATCAAGCTGTGCAAACAAAGCCAACAGGTATACCCTTTGGTATTTCATAGGTAAAGCTATTATTTTCTTATTCTTGTATTTATTGTTTTATCATTGAGAATAATACAAAACAATGACACAAACAAAATGAAACAAAACAAAAGCATACATTCAACCCTAAAAAAAATAATCACATCCTATTAAGGGAAGCACCAGTCCTCCCAGACCCTCCTGGGTCTGAAAACTGCAAGACAGGTTCTAGAACAGGGGTAGTCAACCTTGGCTCTTTTATGACTCGTGGACTTCAACTCCCAGAATTCCTGAGCCAGCTAAGCTGAGCTCAGGAATTCTGGGAATTGAAGTCCACGAGTCATAAAAGAGCCAAGGTTGACTATCCCTGTTCTAGAAGGAGGTGCCCGTACTACTGCAGGGTCCTCCCAGACCCCTTTTTGGTTTGAAAACTGATAGGTAGGGTGTTCTCTAGGAAGGAGGTGTCCTTACTCGAAGAGGAAACCAGGGTACTCTCAGACCTTTTTTTTCATACTGAAAACTGACAGGCAGGGTGGGAAGCTTGTAAAGAAGCTTGGCCATGAGGGAGACCCCGGGGAACCAATTGAACCCCTTCCTTGGAACAGTTACTGGAACTGGGTATGTCCAGTTTAATGAAGAGAAGGACTAGGGATGACATGATAGCAGTGTTCCAATATCTCAGGGGCTGCCACAAAGAAGAGGGAGTCAAGCTATTCTCCAAAGCACCTGAAGTCAGGACAAGAAGCAATGGATGGAAACTAATGAAGGAGAGAAGCAACCTAGAACTAAGGAGAAAGGGGGTTGGACTAGAAGACCTCCAACACTTGCATGGATTTGCCTAGTAGTCAGCTCAAGTAGATCAAGTAGGTCAGTTTGTGTAGCTTGCTAGAAAGTTTGCTAAAGACAGGAAAACAAATGGAGACATTTTAAATTGCGTGGTAGAATGCTAGTGGGAGGTATTTGGTCTGTTACAAAAATGACTGAATATTGAAAAAGGTGAAAATGGCTTCTTTCCACATTGTTATATAGAACAGAGAGATGAATATATCAGAAAAAAGTTGAAAATAATTCGATTAAAGTGGAGCTAGATTACTTAAAGCAGAGGTGTCAAACTCGCAACGTCACCTGACATGTCGCAACATATCACAACTTTTTTCCATTGGCGGCAATGGGGGGGCGCTTTCAGTATGACACATCCGGCCCATGGGCCGGCAGTTTGACACCCCTGATTTAAGGATTTATGACAAAACAAAAAATGACAGAGTTTGGTATGATTGGGTAGTGAGTAATTATTTGAAAGAAATACATTGAGATCCACACAGATAATGAATGAAGATCTAATTACAGAACAAAATAAATAAAGTACATGGGTCAAGAATAAGTGGAAAAATGAGAAAATTGTAGATCTTTTAAAAAAGAGCAGTGAGAAGTTTCAGAATGAAAGGGAATGTAGAATGTATCTACTGCAAATCCTAACTATGACAGTGTTAAGAATAATATATCTTTAAAGCTGTAATATAATTAGGACTGGTAGCTCCTTGGTGATTTCAAATTAAAATGAGCAATAGAATCAATGAAAAAGATTATAGGACATGAAAATGATTACAAAGTCCATATCCAAATCCTGCAAGGGTCAGGATGAGAATGGAATTAAGACTGTAATCCTATATATTCCAAATATATAGGGACTGTGCATTTCAATATACCACGTGGTTATAACCAATTCCACTCCAAAGTGATTTCTCTTTCTTTGATAAAATCAGGTCCTGGTTTATCCCCTCCAAAAGAAACTATCACTTGATCCCACCTGCCTGGACAATTTATGTCCAGTTTTCCCATCTTGACTTTCTAGAAAGGTGGTAGAAAAGGTGTTGCTTGGAAGCTTCGTAAAGTCCTGGATGAAGTGGATTAGTTACACCCCTCCAATTAAGGTCGATTATGGGCAGAAACAACACTGATTGCACCTGTTGATGATCTCTGGCGAGAGTGGGATGGGGGTAGTGCAACCATCCTTGCTCTCCTTGACCTCTCAGTGCCTTCAGTGCCATCAACTATGGTATCCTTTTGGGTCAGCTATGGGGCTTGGCAGCAGAGTCCAGTGCTGGTTTGGCTCCTTTCTCCAAGGCCAGTCACAATCAGTGTTTCTACGGACTGAGAGGTCCAGCTGACGGCCACTCCTTTGTGGTGTGCCGCAGGGCCTGGTATTCTCTCCACTTGTTTTTAACATCTACATGAAGCCTCTGGGTAAGAATATTCATTACCACGGGTTGAAGTATCATCAGTATGCTGATGATACTCAACTTTATATTTCCACCCCTGGTGATCCAAGTGATGCTGTCACTGCCCTCTCGCAGAGCCTGGAGGCTGTGGGGCCTGGATGGGGAGGCAAAAGGCTTTGGCTGAACCCTGGAAAGACCAATTGGCTTTGGGTGCATGGAGCTTCAAGATCCGGGACTTTAACAACTTTAGTTCTAAGTGGGGTTGCACTACCATAGACAGAGTGAGTCCACAACTTGGGGTTTCTCCTGGATTTTTGACTCCTGCTTGAAGAGTAGTTAGCAGTTGCAGCTAGGAGACCCTTTCCACAACTTTACGTTGTGCATCAGTTGCACCCTTTCCTGGACTGGAAGTCCCTGCGCTCAGTCACTCAAGCCCCAATCATCTCATGTTTGGACTGCTGCAATATAGTCTACATGGGACTACCATGGAAGAGCATTTGGAGGTCCGAGTTGGTGCACAGTGCAGTGGCACATGCAGTTCTTGGGGCCCTTGGGGTGATTCACGTTACACCACTGCTCTATGAGCTTCGCTGGCTGCCAGTTTGCTACCGGGTACAATAGAAGGTGCTGGTATTACCTTTAAATCCCTGCATGGCATGGCCCCAGGTTACCTGAGGTAACTGGCCTACCTCACCCATGCTGGAAGAGGGAAGATACTGTGGCCCCCGTCAGACAGGGAATTTCAGCTGGTGAGGACCATGGAAGAGCCTTCTCAGGCTCTGGACTTTTAGCCATAAGGGCTAAAGACTTGGCTCTGCCAACTAGCTTGGGACCTCAATGGGGGAGTATCATAGTGGAGATGGTTGATGAATTAAGAGGAAGATCTCACCTCTTTCCCCCCATCATGCATCCTGCTCTTTCCCTTTCCATTTTTAACTGTAAGGTTACTTCAGATTGCAATTCTATTTTTATTGCTTTTTGAAATATTTATCTTCTATGGTTTTATTGCTTTTATTGATGTAAGCCATGCAGGGTTGCTTCAAAGCAGGATGGGCAGAAAACAAAATGAATGAATGAATGAATGAATGAATGAATGAATGAATGATATTTTACCACGCAAATGTTGCATACGTTATGGTCCCTCTACTTATTTTCCTCACCTGTTGAATAGATGAATTATGCAGTACTATTGTAGTTTCATTACAACTAACTATTTTGGGGTTCGGGAAAGGAGTTAAATGTCAGTGCAGTTGCTCCCAAAAATGCTGAGGGGAAAAAAAAAATACCAGCGTAAAGACAGGCTCTGTTTGAGGCTCTGTTTGGAAGCTCTTCTGGACCTCACTAGCTGAAATTCCTTGACTGACAGGATCCACACCATGCCGCCTCTGCCAGCAAGGCTGGGTGGGCCAATCCTCTTGGGGTGAGACAGTACCTCAAGTAACCCGGGCCCATGCCAGGCAGAGTTTTAAAGGAACCTCCAAACAGAGCCTCTTCATTGCTCCCGATGGAACCAGGATGGATTCTTCAGTTCTTCCAAGCCTACAGCATGCATTATATAGTCACCATATACACTGAATAGGTATGGCAGAACAGAAATAGAATTATTTTTAAAATTCTCTTAATGTTTCCATTATTCATCTAGTATTTGCTCAAATTTGATTTCTATCCTGAGATACACTGACTCTTGTCTGTTTTCTTTTTATCTTTGACACACGCCAAATTAATGATCAGTCTTTATCCTTGATGTACCAATTTAATGCTCATAAAAATGTTTAGCAAGTTGTTGCTTTGGTTGAAAACATGCAGAAGAGACCTATAATAGCCCCCTCAGAGGCCAGT